CTTCCCCTCTACTCTGCCCTGGTGAGACAGATTTGTCCAGGGTTAAGAAGGCAACCTCTAATTCAAATATTTTTTTTTCTTTAAATAAATTTCAATTTATTCCTTTCATGTAGGATTAATAAAATTACTTTGCTCAGTAGAGAAGAGATCTCTCAAAATTGAAAAACTTTTTAGTTTTGGTTTGGGCCACAAAAAGGGAAATAATTATGGAAAACCAGGACAGTGTTTAGACTGAGCTGTTGTATGTTATTTAAACATGAAACCCACCATTCACTCACAGGACGCTGGCAGATGTCCACTTTCATACTAATAACTTCAGTGGAAAAAACTGCTTTTAAATTCCTATCAGAGACCATAATATGCTCAGTTAAACTAAAACAGTGCCCTTATTAGGAATGTCTCAGGCAACACCTTCAATCCATTCCAAGATGGAACACTTGTTTTCAGAAAGGGCTTCAATAATACTGCTTGCTACAAAGCCATCAATCATTTTGTCTTGTCAATACCTGCAGCCAGAGACATTCTGTAAAGCAAACACAGTGGTAGAGGCACTTGTTGCTAACAACCATGAGCAAGTTGTTTGTCTGTCTGTTTAAAAAAGATTTGCCTAATCACTTGCATATATACTGTACTGACTTACTACTGCTTAGTTCATTAATCTCAAGCAGCTCTGCATTTCCCCATGCCTCATATATACAGAATCTATTCCATTTGGCTACACTAATTAAGATAATTACTTTCAAAGTAACAAAGGAACAGCGATAAGCACGATGTAATAGGACGGATTCACATCCAGCAGATGACAAATTTACTCTAAAATGGAAGTGCACAATTAGTAACTGTTTTACCAAGATACACAAAACATACTGAATTCTACACTGAGAAGCAGAGAGGAGTTAACACACACTACTACTATACAAGATTATAACGGATCCTAAATACAAATGCGTAAAAAATCCTTTCAAGTCAAGGCCTAAGAGCATGATGCTGCTTAATGGTTCTGTGATTTCAGGACATACTACAGAGCTTCTCAAAAGGTCTGAAACAATATTTATAAGCTTATAGGATAGGCAAACAATCTCATATCTAGATTATATAACGGTCAAATCAGGATACTTACAGGCAAAACGGATTTCATTCTATAGCAGCTCACACTTCTGCTAGCGTTAGATACAAAAGGGCAATTCTGATTGTTCTCCTGGAAATTTCACAACCAGCATTCTCACATGCCATTTAACAGCTAACTGGTTAAGCCAAATGAAAGAAAGATTTAGAAAGTTTTTTGGAATTTGGAAATTATTTTAACCTGCATAACACCAGAAAAAACATTCAGAAGTCTACTATGTGGAATTCATCTTGTCCTACTTAATCATTAGAATGTCTTCTTTATTTTTTCCCCAATGTGTATTTTATCACCTCCTAAAGCAGCCATAAAACTATGGAAGTTTAACATGAATGAAGACATGGCCAAAAGCTGGCAAACTAAGAGTTCTGTAGTTTTTCAGGTCTTTTCCATTACTTACTGCTTACCTGTAATAACAAGAGGTACTACACTCAAACAGAAAGGTACTTTGACATGACTGTAATCTTTACCATGCTATTCAGAAGTGTTAATCACATTTGAAGACAAAGAAACACAAGCATTAAACATTACTAAAGAATCAACTTCAGCAATGACTCTTCAGCTCTCTACCAAAATATGAGTAACACCAATCAAGATTTGCTTACATTGCCAGCTTTACCACTGTATTTTCACGACATTTTAGTCCCAGACAAACCGTTTCACAATGTGAACGATGTATTATGCAAAACGTACACAGCTGTCTTCAAACTGATGGTCCAAACACACATATTCTGCAGCTCTAACTCGGTATATATACACCCCTTCCAGAGGTATAAATTACTACCTCCACAAGTGAGGAGGTGACCATGTCCAACACATGTAGCCTACGTCTGCAAAGTAACACACATTAAGTTGTTAGGCTTTCTAACCTTAGTTGTTTACTTTTTATTTAAGCTGACTAGGAACAGATACTCTACCACTGTAGCCTCTTAGCATCAAGGGCAATAACTTGTCTCTCCAAGCAGCAAATTCTTATAATACTCAAATTAACTATCAAGAACACATCTGTCTGTACCTTGAATTATATCACTTCTGTCTGCAGGAAGAAATGCCACTTGAAAAATGGAGAATTTGATAGCTCTTAATCTTTATGTTTACATGACAAAGATTTTCAACACTGTCAATATGTGAGATGGGGTCAGTAACTGCTGACAGTTGCTCTCAGGATCTAGCATTCAGAAGGGTGCAAAAAAACCACAGAATCACAGACCGTTCAGGATTGGAAGGGACCTCCAAAGCTCATCCAGTCCAATCCCCCTGCTGGAGCAGGAACACCCAGATGAGGTTACAACCCATGAAGATTTTTTCCTGTTTGCTTTTAGATATGTCTTCAAATACAAAAGACTGAAAAAACCTTTTCTTGTCAGCTAAAGACTGTTACAGGAAAAATGAAATGATCTCCAACTAAAGGAGAGGTTCCTAAACCAACATGGATCAAGTTCAATGGGTACCAGTGACACTGCAAGAGTAAGAAACCAGAATAAGGACTTTTCTAGATCAAGAAAACAGAAGGAATATTGCCTAAACACAGAACGGGCCTTTCTCTGGTGACTTTACCAAAAATAAATTGGGCAACTGTACAACATTTTCATAGGCAGTGGTGCACATTTCCCTAACATCAGCAAGTCCTCAGCGAGTATAGCTGCTGAATATACCGCATGTCTTTTTATGCTGTTATCTGAATAGAACTCACACAGACAATATCTGAGAATTTATGTAAAAGACTGATTGAAATGTTAAACTTACAGCTGTGGTAAATTGGGTCTAACAAAGGGATCGTTTTCTGCCCCATTCACAGCTTTATTTTTCCTCTGCTTGGGTTCAGAATTGGCAGATGGTGCCTGAGAATTATTTGTAGTTGGAGGCTTTCGCTTGGCCAGGAGCTTTCTTTGCCTTTCAATGTCTTCCCTTTGTTGATTCACCCATTCTTGCTGCCTGTAAACCCCAAAAAAAGCTTTATTAAAGTTTCATCACTTTGCATTTTTAAAGGACTCTCTTTTCAACTGATAAAGCATTAAGAATTTTTTTTTGTTAGAAAACTTACTGTACATGTGAAAATGTTTCCTAGGAAAAAGAACACCAATGTTCTTCATGAGGTGGAAAAATTCTGCTAAAGTTTTGGCACAATTAACTTTGGAAATACACGGTGGGTTTTTTGTTTAGTTTTGGGGTTATTTTGTTTTTGAAAGTGTTACACGTTATTTCTGCACTAGAAAAAGACAAAAAAATATCTGAGCTGGTGGACAGCTTCTTTTATACCATCAAAAGAAATAAAACAGTCAGTAGAGTACTTGGTTTTTATAGGCCAAATACTCAATTTGATCTGACTGTTCCCAAATAAATAATCAGTTTGGTTGTATGGCAAACAATTACAGCTGTTATGCAAACCACATAGACAAATTGTTTTAAATACCAGCTTAAGAAAACCAATGACTCAGGCAATCATATAATGCTAAGACCACATATTGCCCTTCAAAAACTAAAATCTTGGTGAATTACTTCTTTTTAATATATCCCCCTCTCCCTCCAAAGACTCAATCAGACTCGGTTACCCAAGAGTGCCTTTGAGGCATTGCATAATTATTTTACCACAAGCTCTGATGGTCTCCCAGATCCCTTTTCCTTGGCCCCGTCTCTGCTGAAATATCTGCTGCAGCAGCACTTTCCCAAGTAGCCGCTTTATCTCATCCACTTGCACTAGACCCTGTCTGAGGCTGACAGATCTGTCACTCTTCCTTCACGGCACTGAGGAGCTGGATGCCTGAAAAAGCTGCTACAGTGATGGATGCGAAGGCAGCACCTGTGTGACCAACGAGAACTTCACAGACCTCATCTGGCTCAACGACCACCAGTGATCACAGCATGGTTAGCTGCTTGAAGAATCACTGATTTAGTTTTACAGCTTCTTTTCCCAGCTGAGCTGAATAATTACATACTGCTCATTTAGTATATTCATGCTTTTCTAAGGACAGTTAAAATCAAGTGAAATCAAACTTGTCTTTCAAAGACAACCAGCCATAGCATTAAGGGAGTTCTGTACTGTATTCTCAGTCTTCAAAAGGCAAAGCAAAATACAACATATGAAAAGCCACTGCAATCCTAGAACCTTAGTAATAAAAAAATCCACTAGAGGGAACTAAGAATTGGTGAGAATTTTAGGAACATAGCATTGACTAACTTCACAAGATTTTGAAATGCAAAGCCATCTGTCCACTGTTCAGTAAATGAAGCACCATGACGAACTGTTGTAAAATGCCCCAGGCGTAATCTGTCTTGCATGCTCTTCTCTCTGCTTGCCAGCTTTTCCTGCGTGCTCTAAGAAAGCAAAAAAAATTAATTCATATTTAGTAACAATAAAGCGCTCAAGAAGTCAGTAAAACACTCAGGATTTTCCCTCCAATAAGAAGAGATAAAAGGAGAGTAGATGAAAATAGCTTTTATAACTTGACTCCATTTACTCTAATTTCTCCAGAACTCAAACATCTGCAGTTGTCAGAATTGGTACTCGTCGTCGTTTAACACCAGCCAGCAACTAAGCACCACACAGCCGCTCACTCACACTTCCCTCCCGCCGAGTGGGATGGGGAAAGAATCAGAGGGAGAAAAGAGTAAGAAAACTCATGGGTTGAGATAAGAACAGTTTCATAATTGAAATAAAATAAAATTAAAATAATAATAACAATAATAATAAAAAACATCTTACAGCTAATTAAGACAACAACAAAAAAAGAAAAACAAAACCAAGAAAAACAAGTGATGCAACTGCCAGTGATCAGATCACCCAGCCAGTGAACCCCCCAGCCAATTCCCCAGAGCTTATATATCGAGCATTAAGTCTCATGGCATGAAATAAATCTTTGGCCAGTTTGTATCGGCTGTCCTGGCTGTTTCTCCTCCCAGCTTCTTGTAGAGAAGCAACTGAGAAGACAGGGGCGGTATGAGATACTGAAGAAGTCCTTGGCTTCATGTAAATATTGCTTAGCAACAGCTAAAACATAGGAGTGTTATCACATTATTCTCAGCACAAATCCAAATCACAGCCTCATACCAGCTACTATGAAGAAAATGAATTCTGTCCCAGCTAAAATCAGAACAGGAGTAATGACAACTCGCACAAAAAAACCCCCCTGAGTTTTATTCAGTTTTCCTATAAACTTCACCACTCTTCATAGTTTTATTTGTAAATACAGCAGAACTGATTATCAGCATCATAAAAGCGTATAATTAATATTATGTCTGTACATGTCTATGATATTAAATGAGCTTAAGACATCAGAAAGAGTGCCCTTACTGTACTTAGCCTGGAAATGCCCTTGACAGAGCATTTATGTTACTACTTGTACCAAACTGTCTGAGCTCAGGAATCTCTACGTGGGAATGCGCTGTAGACAGACCTAACTGCAATCAGATATTCACCTGCAGTAACAGAAGCAGGTGCCCTTCTCAGAACCACTGCTACCACAGGCACCCTTGGGATGTGATAAATAACTGAGTCTGCCCAGTCTGCTTCAGCACAGGAAGAAAGACCGCTGTGAACACCGCTGATGGACAGAAACTTATTCAGCTGTTACAAATACTTACTTCTTAAGAAATGCCTATGGTCTAAAATCTCACACATGCAAATTAACAAAAGGTGAGAAGCTGGCAGAATTGGGGATCTCTGTGCAAACAGATTTCTAGACCAAAGAGGCAGCTTGCATGGCCTGTCATGAAAAATGGCCTATGTGATATTCTCAGTCTGAAGATGCCCACCTAGCATAATGTGAACAGATCTGATGCATCTTTTCCCCGCATTCCCCTCATGCTGGAGCTGAAAAGGATTGCAACCATTTCTTGGCGTGCTAGTGAGAAAACTCTGGGATCGGTTTGTGCCCTTGTATCTGACAGCAGCATCTAGTGGCTGGTGGTAGGAAAAGAGACTTGGATGTTTACCTTAAACTTTTTTGTATCCTAATGTGTAATAAGCTGATTTTCTATTCACTTTTTGTAAGATATTTTTTTTTTAATACGGCTACTTTAAAGAAGAGAGAGAGAAACAAAGTATCCCTGTCCTTTAAGATACTGCTGCTTAAATATAATTGGTATTAAATTGGAAATAAATACTTCTTACACAGTAGTATAAGAGTAAACGGTCACCTTCATTTCCTTGTTTCCAGTAGTTCTGAGCTAAGACAGCATCTTATAATTTTACATCAAAAATTATCTCAGCCACTTCAGTGTCTCACAAAGATTTGATCCATCTTCTCTCCACAATAGAGTACCATATTCTTATTCTTAAAGTTTGTCCAGGAAATTTTCCACACACTAATTCCTTAGCTTCTACGCTTTGCTATATGTGAATGGTGGGAAAATCCCCGTTCAATTAAAAAGGCGTATTTTCCATGACCTGAAAAACCCTCAGTATTTTTATTTTGCCGATTCAGGGTTATAAAAACACTTACTGCCAAATAGAGACCATGCATACGATGTTTCAGTCTCAGAGACTAAGGTGAAAAAGTTAAAGTGAAAATGAAGGAATTACAACAGAGTTCTACACAACCTCCCAGTTCTTATCACAAAGATTTTAAAAGCAGTAAACTTACCTTTTCAATTAGAAGCTTCTTGCTCATTGAAATACATTTGTTTAACCTTTCTTTATATTTTTCAAGTAGCTTTTGTTGTTCATCTATTTGTCTTCTAAGATCACAGTTAGCCTAATAAATATACACAAAATAAGAGACGATAGATTGAAACGGATTTTTTAATCAGCTGTCAACCAAAGGTATCTACCTTCACATGACTAAAGTAAGAAACATGCATAAACATCTATATATCTATACATGTATTTTTTATATATATATATGTACACCCACATATATATACACACAAGAATCTCCTTTCACAGACCTATCTCAATCTGTACAAGGATGCCTTGCTTCCTTTTCTATTTCATCATTCTGTATTGCAGAGCATTCAGCACAGAAAAATACATAAAAGCATTTGACCAATCACTTTTCCAGTCCTCCAGTGTTAAGCCGGAGGTTTAACTTTTAGCTCTGGATCCTTTATAACTGAATGCTGAAGTCATAAGAAATCCTAACATTTTTAACTTAAAAGGAACAAAAAAAAATCACAATGATAAAAGTTTCAAATACCCGAGTAGGAAGTTTAACAAGTTCCCTACATTCCAATTATATTTAACTTATTACCTTAGAAAAAAAGAGAAACGTTATTTTGTTCAAACCTAAATTATTATTTTAAAAATCTTAAAAAACCTTTGAAGAAGGGTTAGGTTTGTCCATCTCACACTGCTGAACACGTGCTAAAGGAGTCTACGTGTACAATTTTATAATGTATGATTGCATGGGTTAGTATGAACTTGTCCACAGAAAAACACTGAACAATGGCTTGTGAATTCAGTCGGGGGGGTTTTTTCATTTCTTCTTTATATCGTCTTTCCAACACTTTTTTCAAGAGCACAAACATGTTTTTTTTTTTCCTGAAAACAGGTCTTAAGAGTACAGTATAGAAAAGGTTTCTCATTAAAAGTAGTTTTCTAGCATCTGTAACGATTTCTGTCACAATCCCCTCCATTCTGGAACTGCCAACAGTTGTCTCACTGGTGAACTGCTATTCAGTTAGAACAATATAAAAACACCTGTTACATGAAACTGTATTTTGAACTTAAGTAATCAATCAGTTGTGTGCAAAACAGCATCAGCTTTCTTTGTACTTTCAGAACGTCTATAAACATATTTAACCATTAACAAGCCACAGCACAGAAGCAGAAACAAATAAACCCTATGCATTTCATTTTACAGACTCCTCAGATTTTCAGGGGGGGAACGTAAAAAAATTAAAAACTTATTTCACATTTTAACGTACAAAAATTAAAAACTTATTTCACCTTTTAATTTAGGAAACTTCCAAGGTAATTTTTAAAAACGAGGAATATTCAAACATTTAAAATATTTGCCTCAGATTCATTGCTGTTGAGTTAATATCTTACACTTACCCTGAGTAAGTCATCTATACGACCTTCCTTCTTTTCCAAGTCTTGATTTTTATTACTTTCGAGTGCAGCTAATTTCAGCATTGTGAGATCAGTCTAAAAAGAACATTTTGAAATATTTACCCTTTCCTTTAACAATTACAGCACTATTTTTCTCACGTTTGTTATATAGATAAATAAATTACTTTAAAACATTCAACAAGCCCAGCACATCTCATTTTCATGTGTTTTGAAAGTGATATGGAAGGTTCTTATTCAAAACTGCTTTTCACTTCATGAAGGTGACTGAACAGTTAGGACAAACTATTGAACTGCTAAAAGATTTCATTACTAACTGAAAAGTTACTGCTTACAAAAAAGCATACAAAACAGGGCAAGAATGTAAATATCAGCTGTTTATATTCTCTGTATTGGTGCAACAGGTGAAGTAGCCTTGTTCTGACTGACTTGTGAAAGATGGAACACAACAGGCCAGAAACGGCAGAGAGGAGAAAACAGTTGCTTTTGGCTTTTAAAAATCATGGCAGAACTGTATCTTGATCACTTTGATTACCATCTTATCTTTCTTCTTCAATGTCATGTTTTAAATGCAGTATGACAACAGCAGCTGTCACTTCAAATATTGCCTGAAAGAGCAGCCTCTGCTTCTAAGATCACACAACAGCTAAAATCTTGAGCAAAAGCCTACCAACGCCACGGCCATCTAACTGCTCATGAAGTGCAGCGCTGGAAGCAGAGCAAATGCAGAACACAAATCTAATCAGAGAGATTTAAATTACGAGCTGCTGAACTTAACAGAAAAATACCTCAGCAGATTGTAAAAAGAAAAGCTTTGGAAACTGAAAGTTTAGAAGAAGTTGGAAGACAAAAAAATAAACATATCTATCAGCTTTTTCTACAGTCTGAAGCGACTTTGGATAGCTCTACTCAAAAATAGTTACCTGAGTAATTTTGAAAGATAACTGCTTTGGCTGTGTGATAGGGTGGTCCCCGAAAGCTAACGAAGTAGGAGAAGGACTATTCTGTCGAACCTGGAATGCACGAAAACAAGGGATTTTAGATACCACTGCAACAGTCAATTATGGACACAGTCTTGTTTACACCTCTCAGCACGAAAATCATACAGAACAGAAAAATATTCTTCTTTGTTACAGAAGATACTACTTGGAGCACTGCTTTGAGAGCCAGCACTATGCTGTTACATACCACTTGCAGTTTTGAAAGGACGGAATAAATTCTCTCAGAAAACTAAGGCTGTCACTTTTGGGAAACAGACTGAAAGATTTAAAGACAAGACAAGACTGATTTCACCTTACGGCAGTCTTACACAGACCTAGTTTTCTGACTTTAAGTTTTCACAACTCAGAAATAAAGCAATGAGTTATTTTTGGAGTGGTTATTTCCCATGGGATAACCAGAAAGGGGAAGCCAGTGCTGATCAGAACACAAATCCCATTAATGAAACTTCCCCAAACCCACCAGTTCGTGTGAATGAGACCATTTGTGAGCCAAATTCCACAATCTGTACTACACTCCATACATTACTGTATCATACTCCATATACATACACTACTGTATTATACTCCATACACATCATATACATACATTACTGCATTATACTCCATACATTACATAGCAAGAGTAAGAGGATGCCTGAAAAACTAACAGCTGAGGTCCACCAGCAGAGAAAACAAATCCTTCCTGTAACTGGCAGAATCTGTTTGGCCATTTAGAGCCACGTGGGCGTATGCTCAACACTGAAATTGGGCATAAAAGGAGGAAAAAAATTAATTTGCATGACCCACAAAGAGAATTCTAGGAGGATACAGGCAAATCAGGTGTCAATTATTTAAAAACTTTTAAAAAATTTCTCAAAACTGAGCTTTTAAAGTCCTGAGTTAGGGATTCAGTTTCCTCTTAAGCAACAAAAATACTCTCCTTTTTTGTGTGAGGCTTGTGAATAGATATCATTTTAGTATTTATTCAACATTTTACATAATTACTTTGTATTTAAAATTGATTTTTTAGGAAAAAAAGTCCCCAGGTTAACAGCAGATTTTAGTTTTAATATTTAACTTGGTCCCTTTCATTTTTGGCTGTTGAAAGTTTGGAGTCCTTCCCAGAACTCCTTCCTTTGAACACTGTTCCCTTGAATATGGATCCTTTTCAACTATACTACTTTTAGGCTATGAAAGTATCTCCAGCAGTGACGAAGTTCACAAACTCACAGAAGAAGGAGCGGAATGTGAATTCTGTGGAGATCGGATTGCGGGAGGTACGCCTCGCACTGGACTGGAGCCGTTTCCACCTTGGTACTGTAGAGAAGACATTGCCCCCCAGTTAGTCCATTTTCTTATCAAAACACATTATACATCTACCGAGACATTGCCCCCCAGTTAGTCCATTTTCTTAGCAAAACACATTATACATCTATCAAATGATACAGCTCACCTGTACACAGAATTTGTAAATCAGGCAGTATTACCTTTATTAGTGTAGCCATTTAAAAAAAAAAAGGTGAAAGAAACTTTATGTATTTTAGCTCAGGCTGCACCGAGAGACCACTGCATCTCTACTTTCAGGTTTAATACTCATAAACATAAAGCACGTCGTCTGCACCATCTGTGGCCCGTAGGATCTTTGCTACTGGTCCTCAGCCTGGAATTTTAGGGGAAAATCAATGAAATGGGGTCAATTGGGAGGGAGGATGAGCAGATCCATGGGTTAGGAAATTGCTTATGGAAATAAAGTGGCCAGGGAAGCAGCACTGTGTGTCCCAGGGAGAGAATCTCAGGTACCACCACCATGGAGGCAGGCGCCACAGGGAACTCGTGTTCCCCACGACTGCCTGCGCTGCCAAAGTTGTGCTTTTGCTTTCAGGAAGGCAAATCAGCAATGCCATAGGTTGTGGCTTTCCCTGTGCTGCTTTGGGGACGTCCCTGGGGTGGGACACGAGCATCTCTGGTGGCTTTACAGGTTTGGTCCATTGCTGCTAAAACACTTCTGGCAGCCTCGGTAGGTGAGGTCCAATCTCGTGGCTCGGTGCCCTTGCAGTAAAGGTTGGACTCGATGATCTTAAAGGTCTTTTCCAACCAAATGATTCTGTGATTCAAGAACTTACATAAAGTAAAAAAGGTATCTTCTCAAGAGGCCTGCCCACTACAAGCAAGAATTTTGTAACACTCAAAGAAAGTTAAAAGTACATTTTAAAGCTAAAGTAAATTTTACAAACACACAAAAACCTCACCTCAAAATAGTCGCTAATCTTGTGACCACGTCCCCCAATATTCTTTCCTGAAACAAATACATTAATACATTAGAATTGATTGAACTCTTACTTGTAGGTGTGTCTTACATTTTTACCTGTACAGTAATTATAGCAAAGTCTTACCACTTGTTAATTGGTTTTCTTTGATGTGCTAATATATGATCTCTCTACGTAGATAATTAAGGGACTGGTCACAACAAAGAGATGTGCCTATTCCATTTATTGAGAAATCCGAAAATTAAGTCACACTTCAATTCCTAAACCGGTTTAGTGAAGACTTAGCAGTAAGCCTAGACCTCTTCTAGATAACAGGAAACTCATCTCTCATCCTACAGATTAATCCTTCAGTTTTAAGTTCCTCCCCTTTTCAAGCACTATCTCAGAGTTCACCCTCTTCCCAAACACCAAATTACCCAAGTCCATTAACATTATACACTCCAGGTGAGTTATTATGCCCAGATGTTCAGCCCAAGGATTTCCCTGAGTGCCAATAACAGAGTGGGCCTGGAGGATGAAGTATTTGCATTCTTCCCAACCTGCTTATGAATCGGCCAACTGACAAGTTAACTAGGGAGACAAATAGAGCAGAAAGAGAGAGGACAATTTCTTCTGTCTTAATCAGTATTAAGACTTCAAGAGCACCAATGTGAATTAATCTTTCTTCAACGTGAGGACTTGACCCATATGTGGCACTCCAGCAATAGCACTGATGTCTCTTACCCGGTACCATAAATGCTTTCTTCTATTCAGCCCTAAGATGACTGATAAATCTTAAGACTGTTTTTGTCTCTTGCACAGGTCAGCCTACCTATTAAGAGACATCTTGAAAACAGACCACTGTTCAAAGCTTTTCTCTTTACAGAAAGACATTTTTGCAATAAATTAGGACACCATGAGCCACATGTGATTTTGGGCTTTCCAGCAAAGATTTTCAAGCTTTTCTATTGCTTCAGCCCTGAAGAATTCTTTCTAGTCAAATATGCCTATATATTAGCACTGCTGCATGACTTTGTGCCACCAAAATCCCACAAAGAAACAGAAACATTTGGCAGTCCTTTTCATGTCAAGACGTTTAATGGAAATAATTAGATAAAATAACCCAAAGACCGAGAGCAGCACACGGGTAACGCCTCCAGTAGTTATCCTCCACATACCACTGTTACCACCCTCTAGCTCACCCAGCTCTTTATCTACTCTATAATTCCAGTAGTGATTTCTGTCTTCATGCTTGATTCTCATGGATCACTTTATTAAATTAAAATTTGCTTTCACCCAGATGAGACAGCATTCTTCCTCAGCACAGAAAAACTCTATGTCATGCTACAGAACTCTGCACTAAAGACATAGATACAATTATTCTGGCACGGCCAATTATGAATAGATTTACACTGGTTTTATCTCACTTTCCAACTCTCCATGTTCTAAACCATACTTTTCTTCAACATTTATGGATCGTTTTACATATTACAAAGTCAAAATCCCAGGTATGCAATACCCAAGAGATGGATCTCTTGCTCCTTTTCTCAATACAACAGCAGTATTTGCTGTGCTTCAACTGCACTGTTACACTCCAAAATGCTGAGGCTTCCTAGGCCAGTGCCTTGAAAATACTGCAGTGCAGACTATTCAGTTTCACTGCTGCTGGCAGTAAAACAGTAATTATAAGACATTAAAATCATGTTGTCTATGTCAAAAAGTTCCTAATATTTCTATCATCTCTAACTTCAACTCTCACTGGTAGCAGGAAGGATAAGCTTCTAGAACAATGGAAATAGGAAATTTCATTCAAGTTGTTTGAACAAAGCCCGTTTCTTTTAAAAAAAGCAAGTTTCTATGAAGCAATACTTACAAAGAAATTAATGTTAATCAAACTACGTCATTCTTCTACTAATAGCGTGTTGCATCATGAAGACTTCCAGATACGGAGCCCACTGATACGTATCTGAAGTGACATTTCCTAGCCCAGTTAGAAACCAAAAAAAGCTACAGATACAGATGTTATCACGACTACTTCCTCTCCCCTTCTCATGAGCTTTTGTCTTGAGGTTAGATTTCCACCGTTGCTCCCCCAAAAGTCGCATTAAAGGGAGGAACAATGAAAGCTACGCTTTGTAAATAGTAAATCGAACATTGGTCTCATCTCCATTTCCCCACCCCTCTACACACACAACTACACTGTACAATAACTCTTAGAACAGGAAGATTAAAACTTGATTTTTAAATATACCTGAAAAACAGGCAATCGGATACTATAAACTGTAATCCCTTTTCTCCCTTACCTAGCGAAAAGAAATATAAACCACAAAGGTGCTTTGGATGAGAACAGGAGATGGAGGAGGGATACATAGTTTGTCATCCAAAACCCAACACTTCTTGTGTAAGCAAGATCTAGAATTTTCAAGGCTACCAGTCAAAACTTTGTGCATTATAATCTGACTGAATACATGCAATAACTATCTAATTCCTTTACATTTTAGTTTACCTTGGCTGCTTTCACTCTGGGTGTCTGCTTTTCTTTTTCTTCCTCTGGAAGGTTCTGACTGCTTCTTCTCCGGAGTCTACAAACAGCAAAAAGAACATGATCCAACAGCAGCTCTGTTTATTTATCTTATTGAGAAATCAATCAAAATCCTCATTCACAAAACACGATTTCACAACTCAGCGGGGATGTGATTTCAGACCACAGTTAAAGTAGATAATACGATCCTTGGTCAATCTGATCAATACAAGCTAGAAAAGGTATTTAAGAAAGCGAAAAATAATTCTTAAATAATTTCCAAAAAGGCAATTCTTGCTGTTAATTTTTAAGCAATTGTACCTTTTCTTCCATCCTAGGGTTTATGAACATCCACTTTGGTTTCACTTATGGCTACATTTTACCACGACCTTCATATTATAGCTGCGGGTGTTTAAATTTTAATACTCGGTGAAAGAAGTAAATTCTCGATGGCATTTTCTACACATTGCCACAATAGAAACACAAAGTTCTGGCGTTTCAACAGGAAATCGTAACATTATGCATTTTTGG